AGTGGTGAGAGCTGATGTGAGAGAATTATGGGATATGGACTTGGACGGCAAGGTGTATGGCTTCACACCGATGGGAGAGTCGAATCCGTCCACTGAAGGGTTCAGGTTTTGGAAACAAGGCTACTGGAAGAATCACTTGAATGGTCGCCCATACCATATTTCGGCACTTTTCGTGGTTGATTTGGCTAAGTTCAGGCAGACTGGCGCAGGGGACACTCTGAGGGCTGTCTACAATCAGCTGTCGCAAGACCCGGGATCGCTGGCTAATCTGGATCAAGATCTGCCCAACTATGCTCAGCATCAGATTCCGATACACTCTTTGCCGGCCGACTGGTTATGGTGTGAAACTTGGTGTGGCGAGGAGGCGAAGGAGACGGCGAAGACTATCGACTTGTGCCAAAATCCCCTCACTAAGGAGCCTAAGACTGATATGGCCCGTCGAATAATTCCGGAGTGGTCGCAGTACTGGCGACAGGTTCAAGAGTTGATCGCGAAGGTGAAGAGCGAAGGCGCTGAAGAGTAGCTCGGTTACTTTTATATCTCAATAAATGCGTTTTCACGCCATACGAGTGGAGTTTGTTGCTAGTCGCGCTTTGCTGGGAATATTGAAACAGTGAGAGGAACTAACGATCTCGGTAACTCGCACTTCATACAGTGGGGATTCCCCACTGGGGAAGTGACGCAAGTAAACGAGCTCCTGGGGAACTGATGGGTGTGACGAAACACCACGGAGGCTCATTCTCAATGTGGATAGAAATGAATGTGTCTGAGTGCCGAACACAGGTGGATGTGAGGAAGATCATTGGTTCAACTCAAAATCTTTGCAGCACTTGCGCCTGATATTCTACCTATCACTCTACTCTCATAATACCGGTACAGCGAAAGACTTGGAAGTTGTTAAGAGGTTACATCAAGAATTTATACTCAACATCCACCAGTTATGTCGCCGATTCATTTTCGATCAACTGCATGTGAATATTCGACGCATGAGAAATATTTTCCATTCGCACGCGTTCATCCGATTCGGATAAAGTACTGGTCGGGAATAGGAGTTTTCCTGACAAAACGCGACGCCATCGAGGCTTGTTCGGAAATATGCGTGGAAAAGTAATGGTTTCCGTGGCCGTACAACACTCTAAAAAGGCAACTCGACCGGAATGGGTGTACCATCAACGACCATCAGGAAACTGACCGAGACAGCCTCCAAGTATTCACCTTATGATGTCTACGATGATGCTCAGTCTTGAAGTTCATGTCAAAGCTCTGTCTCAGACCTTAGCAGGTCGTAAAATAATAGAAAATTTTGGAGCTGTAGTAGCTGTGCATAGAAAAGCACATGTAGCATCCAAACATTTACTGCTGGGCCATAACATTACTAAAACTCTTCAGAGAATGATCTTCGTAGCGTTCTCGACCATGTAAATACATTTGCAGCCCTTATGGTGTTCTCTGTCCGTGCAGTGACACACACCGTTGCAGAATGCGCAGGGATTGGTGAATCCGGAGAGCTTGCGAGAATCGCCACGAATTCCTGGCAGGCCCTGATTGTCTTCATAGCCGAAGGCCATGAGGATGCATACCGCGGCGAGGATGATGATTGAGCGCATGAGAAGTGGGAGAGTAAAAAGTCGAAACGGGAATTCGGAACTGAGATATCGTGTGGGCTTCTTACGATAGTGGATGAATTGGCTCATAATAATACGTCACGCCCCAAAATGAGAAGAGAAAGCCGTCACAGTGATCCTAAATGCCTCAGCATGTAACGACACCGTGCAGCTTAGCTCCACCGTGGAGCTGAGCACACGTGTAACGACCTCGTGGAGCCTCCACGAGGCGTGAATATGGCGCACTGCGTGACACGCAGCCCCACATAAATTCGAACATTTCAAGACCAATCTCAGGTCACAGAATTTCAGTTTCAACCATACTTGAGAGGGCACCCATTAGCGTAGAGCTCTATGTGTATACGGATAATCAGCCAATTTCCACCACTCATTTAAATTTAGCTTTTTCATTTGCAGCCCTATCCAGTAGAAAGGTCGCACCTGCGTGATTGCGTAAAAGGTTTGGGCGCGCTCTTTCAGGGGCCCCCACCCCAAGATCAGAATGCTCGGTTTGCCTACACCAAGTGGTGAGAGCTGATGTGAGAGAATTATGGGATATGGACTTGGACGGCAAGGTGTATGGCTTCACACCGATGGGAGAGACACACCCGTCCACTGAAGGGTTCAGGTTTTGGAAGCTGGGCTACTGGAAGAACCACTTGAATGGCCGCCCATACCATATTTCGGCACTTTTCGTGGTTGATTTGGCTAAGTTCAGGCAGACTGGCGCAGGGGACACTCTGAGGGCTGTCTACAATCAGCTGTCGCAAGACCCGGGATCGCTGGCTAATCTGGATCAAGATCTGCCCAACTATGCTCAGCATCAGATTCCGATACACTCTTTGCCGGCCGACTGGTTATGGTGTGAGACTTGGTGTGGCGAGGAGGGGAAGGAGACGGCGAAGACTATCGACTTGTGCCAAAATCCCCTCACGAAAGAGCCCAAAACTGATATGGCTCGTCGAATAATTCCGGAGTGGTCGCAGTACTGGCGACAGGTTCAAGAGTTGATCGCGAAGGTGAAGAGCGAAGGCGCTGAAGAGTAGCTCGGTTGCTTTTATATCTCAATGAATGCGTTTTCACGCCATACGAGTGGAGTTTGTTGCTAGTCACACTTTGCTGGAAATAGTGAGATGAACTAACGATCTCGGTAACTCGCACTTCATACGTGTGGAAGTGGCCCTGGGGAACTGATGGGTGTGACGGAACACCACGGAGGCTCATTCTCAATGTGAATAGAAATGGATGTGTCTGAGTGCCGAACACAGGTAGGTGTGAGGAAGACCATTAATTCCACTCAGAATCTTTGCAGCACATACGCCTGATATTCTACCTATCAGTCTACTCCCATAATACCGGTACAGCAAAAGACGCAGAACTTGTTATTTATACTCGACATTCTCCAGTTATGTTGCCGATTGATTTTCGATCAACTGCATGTGAATATTCGACGCATTCATCGGATTCGGATTAATTACTGGTCGGGAATAGGAGTTTTCCTGACAGAACGCGACGCTATCGAGGCTTGTTCGGAAATATGTGTGGAAAAATAATGGTTTCCGTGGCCGTCCAACACTCTAAAAAGGCAACCCCACCGAAATGAGTGTACCATCAACGACTATCGGGAAACTGACCGAGACAGCGTCCAAGGGTTCACCTTACGATGTCTACGATGATGCTCAGTCTTGAAGCTTATGCCGAGGCTTTGTCTCAGACTCTGGCAGGTCGTTAAATATAAGAAATTGGAAGATGTAGTGGCTGTGCATAGAAAGGCACGTGTAATCTCCAACCAGTTGCTGCTGGACTCTTCAGAGGAGGATCTTCATGAAGTTCTAGAGCATGTGAATACATTTGCAACCCTTGCGGTGTGCCCAGTCCGCGCAGTGACACCTACCATCGCAGAATGCGCATGGATTGGTGAGTCCGGAGAGCTTGCGAGAATCGCCACGGATCAGGCCCTGATTGTCTTCATAGCCGAAGACCATGTGGATGCATACCACCACGACGACGAGGAGGAGGTTGATGATGATTGAGCGCATGTTGAGTCGAAACGGTGAGATGCTGTGAGCCTCTTGGAGAAAGCGTGAATTGGATAAGACCGTGACGCGCGGCGAGCAACCTATCCGGACTCATGCGTGCGAAAAAGATTCCCTCAACGGGCGCTAAGGAATTTCCCGGATCGTCGTGAATACATTCACTACTCACATGAGAATATCCTACCCTGGCCCGAAAAGCTCCCTAACTCATCGTCGTTGTGCGATAGTCACGTAAGAAACCACTCTTCAGTGTCGCAGCATTTTAGCGCACGCCACGCTAATCGATTTCTCTTCTGTTTCACGGTGAAACTTTCACCAGCACCAAGTTTGTTTCTCGTGATTTCGTGCTCCCAACGCGGGTGGAGTCACCGTTTCCTATTATTCATATGATATGAATCATGCCCCGGCAATCGAAAACTCCGAAACCGAGTACTTCGGTTTCGATTCGGTTTCGGTCGATGGACCGACCGAAACCGAAACGGCGAGGTCCATCTTGAAACCGAAACCGAAAAAAACCGAAATATTCGGTCCTTCGGTCTTCTCTCGGATTTATAATGTACTACGGCATTTTTCCAAAACAACACAAATTGAAGGCCTCATTGTCCACAGACAAGCTGTAATTCTTTGCAAGTTCCTGAGTCCGATAAGTGTGCTCGGTTAATACAATGATAGTTACCTCACGAAGGTTGAAACATTATTATTGAAGGAGCTACACAAGGTGGCCACTGGGTGGCCACCGGCTATGCCACTATGGCATAGACTCCGGAATTGTCCGTGCGTATGACGCAATACGTGATAGTGTTTGGAACGGTAAATTTCCAACCGTTATTTCTATACAACGCCAGTGCAGGTTCAGAAACTTAATTAGTTAAGCATGCCAGCTAAAACAGCTACGTGAATATTATCCACTGATTGAGCAAGTAACTGGCGGCTCCATTGGAGCCGCTCCAAGGAGCAAAAATCCATTGGATTCCATGGCTAGATTGAGCGGCCCAATAAATGCGTGCATAATAGGTCACCTAACAACAAGAGTAGTAACTCATGATCTCTGATGAGTAGTACACTTTTGCTCCATCCTTAAAGCACTGCCCGGACAACCGATTGCTACTTCGCACCACCATAGCTGCCTTGATAAGGTCACATTCCATTGAAGTACGGCGAACAGAGATCTGTTCACGAATCTGCGAGAACAGGCTCTCAACGTTTGTAGTAGATAGCAACGTGTGCTGCACACCAACTGCAGCGTGGGCTATCAGTGGAAACTCCTCGCGAGCGAGGACGGTCCAGAATTGCTGATAATCGGTCCCGTGAGCTTCAAGACTTAAATATTTATCAACCTCCTTTGTCACCCTGCAAACGAGATCATTCCCCATATCGGGAGGAAGATATTGTGGGAGAACCGAACGATCCAGAACTTTATCGGTTAGGCTGCGGCGCCTCGTAGGGGCGCCGTCAAGTTTATCTTCAGACTTCGACGAGACTGATGGATCACAGGTGACAGTACTAGCCTCTGCGCCGACTCTAGTGGCAGTACGCCTCGTAGATTCGAGTACCGGGCCGGAGTTGGCGTTCACCACCCACGTTGTGAATGCAGAGATTAACGCATCACGCTTGAGAAGGTCACCATGAGGTAGATGCCTTAGGCATCATGCCTATACAGTTGATGATAATGTTGGATGACCGCAAGCCGCCCCAGGTTCTGCAGCTTAATAGCTGGGTCAAACATGCACGGCACCAGTGCGTCAGCCGTCAGACGGCTGAGCACCTAACCACTTGAGTAGAGGCGTGAAAACCAAGACCATATCTTGAGCGACAGACTTTCCCCACCTTCAGTTCAAAGCTCTCCCTCATACCCTCTCGCGCTTGCCGGATGATATCCAGTTCCGACTGCTGAGGCTCGTTGAGGTGACCCCACAGTTCATCGAGGTATCTAACGGAGGAAAACGGTAAACTCGAAAAATTAGAGAAACGTGCCCGCTATATTAGCTCGTGTATGCCAAATATCTACCCGATCGTTACAGTATATTGGCGCATCCCACATCGGCCGCCTGGGTCTGCATCACATCACACGCCCGCTTGAACGGTAACAAAAGATTCTCCAATTGGATCAGCGTATTCTTTTGTGAGAGCAATCGCTGGAAGCTTCTAAAGTACAAACAGCGTCCAGAGAAAGCCCGCGTTTGACGAGGTTTAGCACGAACTGTCGACACCTACTGAAGTTTATCCGCTTCTGCGAGGATAGTGATTATTCCACTCCATGAGCGCAATATGCGCTGCAGCATTGCCAAAGTCCCATTCCATCTAACGGCAACACGTGGTTTTAGTCTGAGTGTGGAATGACAACTTGACAAAAGAGGAGCAATATTGGCTTAGCAGTTTTAATCATTAGTTAACACAGCCGTGGCTCGCGGCTAACTTGGCATTGGCACTGCTTCTTTTCATAAAATCCACCAACCGAGAGCACGACAGTAATAATCCCCTCAACCCTATATTTTCGCTCTCCATGTCACTTGGGATGGTTACGTCGACTGATCTTTCTCGTAGCTTGTCCTCCACTTCTTCAACCAGGGATGGGTCAATATCCGTTCCAACTAAACCGGCGTTGATAGACAGCTGTAGTAGGTGACAGAAACAAGGGATCTATGGATTGAGGTTGAATCCACTCCCCCATCTGCACATAACTTACACTTCCGTATCCCTTGAGGTCCAAGGCTTTCTCGTTGTTGGCCGCACTATCACACACAAACAGTGCTTCGGTGGGAGCGATGTCGTAGAAGGCACAAGTCTGAAACCGAAGTGTTCCCTACGTCCACAAAAGGTTTACAGAGTGCGAAATCCGCACAGAAGCACCTCACTTATGTACTACTTCATCTATCGCCATCTTGAGGCTCTCACTGGTACCGTCTGGTATTTCTCTCAGGTCTAACACGACTGGAGTAGGTTTGTCCGTGTGCACGTTCAAGGTCAAGGCGATGTACTCCTTGCTGTGCCACGTGTTGTGCCAGCAATCGAAGCATATCTGCGATACAAAGACGATTTTCAGGTCTCTAGCTCGTAGTCTACGAGTCGTAGACTTCAGCAAGTATCACCTGTAGTGGCCTTCTCTGTTTGGAGATCATTATTTTCAAGTCTTGCTGTCTGCTCTGTGCAAGCTTCACCATATCGCGTCTCAGGGTAGTCTCAGAGGGAAGAACTCGCTGCGCGTCCAGAGGCGACCCGAGCTTGGCACCAACGGAAGATATCACACGAACAAAATTAATCATGGCCGGGCTCTCGAACGACAGATATGAGATACCGATTTCACTCAAGAGTACCAACGCTGCCTCTCGGATTGACCTTTTCTGCTCGTCGGAAACATCGGCAGTGGGTATGAAGTGAGTGATTCTTGTTTGATTCTCAGCACGTTTGCATACGTGAGTACGCATAGCTGCTGTGGTCCCGTCTGGGCGCGGCACCACAACTTTGCATGTGTTGCAGCAAGCAACACAGCTAACTTCATCTCCTGTAGTGCGGCACAGAATCTTGGAGAAGTTCGCCCACCGAGCACTTTTGCACTGAGTTGCCGATGGTTCAGTGAGTACAAACTTGCCCTCGTCCAGAACTTTTCCACTGGGCGGTACTTCTCCTTGATACGTCTTGCGCTTCTTGGAGGGTGCAGGCTGCTGGTCATTCTGCGGTGGGTTGTCACTGTGCACAGCACGCTGTATCTCGGCGTCGAGATCGACTACGGCAATGGAACCTTGAGAAATAAAATTTTTGGCACTTCGCCAGAAGCCTCGGCCCGAGACTCTCGGGTATGCAAAATGGATATGGCAATTCACGACTTACAAGTTGTGAATGATGATTGGCATTTTGAAAATATTTGCCCGCCTTGCCCAAGTTGGGCAGCCCAACTGGGTATGGAAATTTCTTCATCACGTTCACAAAATTGAGACAGAAATGAGGACAGATATGTAGATTACAGCCGGAAGTTCGCCCACTGAATGATATCACCCACGCTAATATTACTGTCAAGCGATGCTCCCGTTCGTTTCAATCCTTGTCGCCTTCGTACTTTCTTCAATCGAGAATGCTTGTCCCCTTGCTTTCTCTTGGTTTTTGTAGACTTGTCTGCCTGCTTTCCCTGGATGTTTGTCGAGGTGGACTTCTCTGCCTGCTTTCCCTTGGTGTTTGTTGAGATGGACCCCTCCGTTCGATTCCTGTCGGTGTCCTGTGTTTCGGGACCTAGAAAGCACATAACATCAAGTCGATATTATGAACTAGCAGCCCAGCCTTTGTAGCTGCCAACCACTTACGTCTCACAAGCCTTGGCATAAGGCCAAGATTCAGCAGCTCGCGCTCCTCTCTCGTGAGTTGCAAACGAGGTGGTGCATTGCTTCTCTCACTGTTTTCTGTATCTGAATAATGGATACGCAAGAAAGGGTGGTATTTTTTCCACCTCCATTTCCTGCAAACGCGACCAAACTGTCCCCGCAACATGATGGTCTCGAAATACCTAGTTTAAAGAACCTCCACAGTGTATAGTTCGCAGCGGATTACATTCTGCCGTTTTAACCATCTCGTGGAGCAGCATATCACCATCAGCGTCCAGCCCGATCATGTCCACGACGCGGACTCCACGTTATAAATAT